CAGCGGCAAACCCCGATCCCCTCAACCTCCAAACCCCGCAACCCCGCTGCCCCGCAGGGTACCCCCGCCACCGCACCACCGGCTCCGCAACCCCGACATAGATGCCCGCCAGCACATCCCCGCCCCCGCGCTGCGGCAACCCCGCTCCCGCCAAGGGAGTTCCGCGCCCCTGGGGGGGACCCCGTGTGGGGGCATTTTTTGCAGGACAGAAAAAATGTCAGGGGCTGCACGCCGGCGGTGTGCACCCCCCTCTGTTTTTTTTTTTTGTTTTTTGTTTTTTTTTTTTTTCCCGACTGGGGCCGGGGTCCCAGGTGCCAACCCCCAGAACCCCGGAACCCCAGCGGGGTCCCGGGGCCGGGGGTCGACAACCCTGACCGCAATGCACACCCCCTATGGGCTTCACAAATGCGGTAGCAGAGGCGCAAAGGAGGATGCTCGCCGTTGCAGGGGATATGTTTCCGGAAAAGTGTGAACCTTATATAGATGATAATCTCGTAAAAGGCGCATGGTACAAGGACGAGGCGGAGGTCCAACCGGGAGTACGGAAGTTTGTTTGGGACCACTTGCAGAACATTAAGGACTTGCTCCAGCGATTCCTAGTTTACAATATTATTGCAAGCGGACCCAAGAGCATCCTGGCCGTCCCGGAAGTAACCATACTAGGGTTTCGTTGTGGGGCCTATGGAAGGAAACCTGACCCACCAAGACGGATAAGATTTCTCAATGGCCAACACCCCTGCGCACCACAACGGAAGTACGAACCTTCCTAGGGGTGGTCGGATTTTGGAGAATCTTCATCAAAGGATTTGCAAAGATAGTTGAGCCTATCCGCGCAATGATCAGGGAAGGGGGTACTATGGAATGGACTGAGGATAGGGAAGTGGCAGCCCAGACCCTCAAAGATATCCTGTCTTCTGATCAGGTTACTTTAGCGGCACCCTGCTTCAATGACCAAGTAGGACGGCCCTTCATCTTAGAAACAGATGGCGGACCAATGGCAGTAGGAGGGGTATTGATACAGAAAAGCGAGGAGGGCAAAGAAATACCAATCAGATTTGAAAGTAGGACCCTGAATTCGGCAGAACGGCGGTACTCAAAATTCAAGAAGGAGGTCTTAACGATCCTGCATTGCCTTAAGACCTTCCAGGCATACCTGGTTGGAAGGCGATTTATCCTAAGGATCGATCCCACCAACGTCGCCGGGGCTCTAAAGAATTACAAGCCTATAGATCCGACCGTCGGCAGATGGATAGGCTTCATATGACAATTCGACTATAAGGTCGAGCGAATTGCGGGGCTTCGAAACAGGGCAGATGGGCTGAGCAGGGTATGTATCACGCCAGAGGGAGTAGAGGACGCATAACCAATTGACGCCTTCCTAGAATACGAAGGGGGTCCCCTTGTTGTGGATAACGAAATGGCCGACTCAACGCTTACAACAGGTCAGCTGTTGATTCAGACCTTGGAAAAGGGCGCGCCTGCAGTAGTTGCAGAACTCGGGGAAGGACCAGTCACCACAGTCAGGCGGAAAGAGGAAAAGGACTCGTGGGGAGCAGAAGTAGGGGCCAGAGAGGAACTGATGGCAATGACCGTGGAAGGGGGACGGGATGCCGTGATGACGTTGGTCGAAACCTGGGCGCAGAAGGAGTGTCAGTACCTAGTCAACCAGACCCGGGAGGAGCAGGATACGGATCAGAAGGAACAAGAGTTCTTCCTCATACAAATGTATGAGGGCGTCTTTAGAGAAATCGGTCTGCTGCTTGTAGGGAACAAACAACCCACGGAAGTCAGCTCCAAGGCAAGGGAGGAAGCTGAGAAGTACGTCTTAAGAAATGGTCACCTATTCAAGAAAGAGGAAGGGATGATGCCTAGGCGTTTCGTTTGTGGGAGGTCTAGGCAGCTGGAGGTAATTCAGGCAATGCATGATGGGCTAGCTCGAGGTCACCGGTCGTCCAAGGGGACACTTGCAAAGATCGTGCCCCTGTATTTCTGGCCAGGAATGGCAGGTATGGTCGCAACGTACTGTCAGACGTGTCTGATATGTCAAGAGAGGAGCTCCGCACGAGTTTACGAACCCCTTAGACCCACTCGGGTACTGGGACCCAAGCACCTTGTTCACCTCGATCTTGCGGTTATGCCCGTATCAACGGATGAGTTTAGATACATCTTGGATGCAAGGGATAATCTCAGTGGCTACGTAGAGGTCGTAGCTCTCAAGAGGAAGACAGGGAAAGCAGTGGCTGATTGGGTGGAAGACTTCTACCTAAGACACCCCTTCGTGCGCAGGTTTATAGCAGATAATGGGACAAAATTCGTTAACCAGGAGGTGTTGAACAGGCTTAAGATATTGTGCGTACCAATCAAGATTATTGAGCCCTACCATCCTGAGGCAAATCCACCAGTAGAAAGGGGGCACCAGACCTTGAAAAACACAATCGTTAAGCTC